CCAGTGGAGTGAACGAGTGGTCAATTATACCCTTAGATGGAATGACACACTGTCTAATGAAGCTCATTGACTTAAAAGTGAAGGGATAAAAGCTTCTGAAAATTGCTCCGGTTTTAGGTAATTAGTGTTTTAGTGATGGGAAGTAATGTTTGAAGATGTCATATTTTCTTCTCTTATAGCAGTAGATAATTATAGCATACATACAACATGAAATGTGTTAATTGTTTGGCTTATGTGCTTGAACCTTGCCTCATGACCATTCAGATGTGGGTGGGATGCTGACTTTGCCCTGTGAATTGCAACAGTAGGTTGTTGCCTTTATTCCTGAGACCCATTTAATTGTAGTGAATCCTACTACTGATTCTCTGCAGTTTTTACCCTTTTCTGATTTTATTTTTCTTGATTCTGAAGGTGACAAAATTTTCAGTAGTCACGTAAATGACCTACTTATTTATCATCACTACCTTGGAAATAACTGAAAATAGGTTGTAAAGCTTTGGAAAACTGGGAATCATGTCTTTGCAGCTAGAGCTAAACCTTGGGACTCCGATGCATTGGTTTTTATTGTAACAGCTTTATTGAGCTCCTGTTCATATTCGTGTAATTCACCTATTAATACTGAACAATTCAGTCCACAACACAGTCAAGTCTAGGATATTTTCATTACCACCCCAAAACCGGGCCCATTTGCCCTACTCCTCATTTCTTCTCAAGCTCCTAGGGGTTCAGCCACCCGTAATCTGTTTGATGGCAGCATCGATTTGCCTAGTTTGGAATCATGAAGTATGCAGTCTCTGTAACTGGAGTCTCATTTTATTTTTCTCTTTTTCTCTCTCATTTTCATTGTCTCTTACTTGAAGTGCTGTGTATCAGACCCAGAGCCCGCACACTACTAGATCCCTCCAGCCCTGAATTCTCTTACTGAAATAACATTCTCAGTGTTCAGCTTTGTTACAGAATATGCCAATGCCTCCTTTTGTGTGGGCAAACAATGTTCCTTTGGGCAGGTATGTCACATTGTATTTATCAGCAGTTGAGAGGCATCAGATTGTTGCTACTATTAGACTTGATGGACAGTGCTGCTATGACAAGTCACACATGTTTTTTTGTATAGACATGCATTTTCATTCTCCTTGTATATAACTGGGATCCTATGGTAGCACTGTATCTGGCTTTTTTGGTTTTAGGAGACAGGAACTCTCTGTGTAGCCCTGGCTGTCCTGGAACTCACTCTGTAGACCACGCTGCACTTGATTCCACAGAGATCTTATATTGGTATAAGTTTTAGTGGTTGTACCAAAGAAAAACCAATGCTTCCAAACTCTCCTATTGGTACTCTCTAGGCATGTGCTTTTGAAAAGTAGCTAATTGCATTGAGAAATTATTCTCCATCTACATTTTTTGCTTGTGGGATAGGATGTTGCTGTATAGCCCAGGCTGGCTTTGAACTCATGGTGATCTTCCTACTTGTATTTCCCAAGTGTTGGAATTTACAGGCATGGACTCTACCACATCTAGCTCTAAATGAATCTAAAGGAGAGGTAGCACTGTTGAGTTCTAATTTTAGTCTGTGACTGAAGGAGAGAATAACTGTGACTATACTCTAGGTGTTCTTTGTGGCCTAGTATCAAAGTTCTTTGTCTGGCTTTTAAAACAAGGCCCGTTCAGTAACCTCTGTCTGTAACAAATTAGTAGTCCTTGATGAAGGAAAGAATTCATCTCACATGTGGCCTCTAGATGGCAGCATAAGTCTTACAGTACTTCTAATTCTGGCCTACTGCTTAACTGGGTTTCTGATTTGGGTAAAAACAGTTTTCTGTGGTTCTACCAGACTGTTTGCCTAACTTCCTTCCTTCCCTCCCTCCCTCCTTCCCTCCTTCCCTTTCTGAGACAGGCTCTCTGGTATGTGGCTGTCCTGGGAACTCATTATGTAGACCAGGCTGGCCTCAAACTCACAGGCCTGTGAGTTTGTGCAGGGATTAAAGTCTGTGCCACTACAACTTGCCTTTCAGCTCCCCCCCCCCTTTACTTTTTTTCCCTCCTCTTCTTTTTGGTTTATTGAGACAGGGGTTCTCTGTGTAGTCCTGGCTGTCCTGGAACTCAATCTGTAGACCAGGCTGGCCTCAAACTCAGAGATCTGCCAGCCTGTGCCTCCCAAGTGCCGGGATTAAAGGTGTGCACCATCTGCCTCCACCTCTAGGCCAGAAATGCTTTCCTAAAACAATAGACACTATGTTTATTTTCCTCTTCCTAAAATTTCTACCACTGAAGGTTTTTTAATAGGTCACTTACTTATAGGAGGCACTGGTTAATACAGGATGGAGTGAACTTTGAGAGACCAGAGGCAGGAAGTTGAGGGGAGTGGCAGCAAGAATGGAGGAAAGTGGGCTTGGAGAGTGTATCTTCTAGTTTTGTAATATTCAGGAAGGGGCAAATGCCTGGTGTGTGCTAGGAGATAAGGTGAAGTTAGACTCTATCATGCCATGGTTTTTGTTTTGTTTGAGGCAGTCTCTTGTAGCCCAGGCTGACCTCAAACTCACTGTGTAGTCAAAGATGATCTTGGTTCTCCTGCCTCCACCTCTTGAGTAGTGGGATCACAGATGCCCAGTTAGAGTATGTGGAGTTGGAGATTGCACTTAAGGCTTGTTCGTGCAAGGCAAATAATACTGTGTCAAATGAGCCAGGTCCCCAGTCCCCATAGGGAAGTCAGAAAGGGAGATAAGATACTTGCTTAACAACAAGAACAAAAGCCATCTGATTCTTTGCTATGTCTTTTTGTAGGAAAAACACCTTTTATTTTTACTTTTAGAAATAAGTAAAAGTCATTTTTTCAGAATGGATTTTACTATCAGTATGAAAGCGATGATCTTGTATAGTTGAGTCACACCAGGTGGAAGACAAGTAATACTTCACATGGATATAGTAAGCCCTTTATATATATGATAGATAATTCTTTGCTAACTAGTAAAGGTTTTGGAAATTTAAATTTGACGTAACTGGCACCAAAAAAAAAAAAAAAATGCTTTTGCTGTGTAGCTATCTTTAGATTAAATCTCCACCGGGTTAAGTTCATTTTAAGAAGACCACCATTTTGTGTATAGTTAGGGAATATGTGGCTATCTCATCTTCCAGAAGGATGCTTTCCACCTCTCCTTCCTTTCTAACACCAAGAATTAGAACTTTTTCATTGTTAATTTGGTAGGGAAACAGCAACTGTGAAAGTGGGTTTCATTTTCATATATATTGATCATATCTATTGTTAAGGCAGCAGAATCAAGAAAATATAAATTTAGATCTGGACGTGATAGTGCACATCTCTGAGACTCAAAAGGTAGAAGCAGGAAGGCCAGGAGTTCAAGGGCAGGCTCTGCTGTCTGTTGA